CCCCAAAACCCCAAAACCCCAAGTATAAGAATTATAAAAAAGAGTTTGAAGTAGAATTAACATTAAAAAATATGAAATCAAATTCAAAAAAGGCTATAACATCGTAGAATAGACGTAACTTTAATTTATCAGTTTCAAACTCTAAGGGTATTAGTCGATAAATGTGAATGTTTGGATAGCAAAAAAAGCACAATTTCAACCTAATGAGTCCACTTAAAACATAAGATTAGAATTAGCAGTAAAACAGCTTTAGAGATTCTCCTTTCTAAGCAAAGCGCTCTGCGGTTGATCCAGATTCTGCCAAAAAATCTCGTACACCAACAAGGACTCATTCAGGGATGCCATCAACAATGGCTGTCCCAGCAAATGAACATCGTGTTCTTCTTCAACAGTTCCAAAATCTTTCAAAAAATCATGAAAAACTTGAAAAGCAACATCAATAAACTCAAAAGGAGTTAGTAAAGTTTAGAACTCTTAATGATTAAAATGACAAGGAACTAAGAATCACCTAGCAATCACTTATCAAAGTTAATGATGAAAAAATTATATTGGAAAATGAGGTTAAAAATCTAAAGGAGTACACAAGAAAGTTAGAGACTAAATTAATAAACGAAGTCAAGGGCACTGGAGGAAATAATTCCCTTTAAGAAATTATAAACTAATAAAGGGAACAGATTTCTAAGATAAAAGGAGATAAGGATAAGGCTGATGCAATACTTGAAAGTATGTTTCAAAAATTACAAAAGCAAAATCAGGAAATATAAACTCTTTCAATAGCATTGGTAAATATTGATAATATAATGAATTTTAGGAATTGAAATTTGAAGACATGGGAGTGCTTAGGAATATAGGAGGAGCTCTAGATAAAGCATAGTTACTTTAATTGATTCAAAGCGAGCAGAGGAGTCATCTATTCGAAGATGAAAAACGTGGAATGCTCATGAAAATAAGTGATCTTAATGCTGCAGTAAATAATTTTAGTCCATTAAAAAATTTTAGTTGCACAGTGTCTAAGCTTAAAATGAGGAGTTGAAACTTATAAGAGAATCTAATAATATGGAATTCATTCGATTAGAGTAGGAAATCCACTATCTATCCCAGAAAAACTAAGGTCTTTCACTTGAAAAGGAAGCTGTTCTCAAAGAAAAGAACACTCTCTTAGATTTTATTGAGGAATTAAACAACTAAAATGATAATAGACTACAGAATTTCTAAGATGAAATTAAAAAACTCAGTGATTAAAATCTTTAGTATAAGATTTAAATCGATGATCTGCTAACTTAGCTTAGAGATAAATTAGTTGAAGCTGACAGAGTCAAATCAGATAATGAGAAGTTGCAATATTAGACACATTAATCAGAGAAGGAGTTTAAGTTGCTCAGAGAAGAAATATAATCACTGAGAACTTAAATGCTACAGAAACAGCAAAGTGAGATGAAGGATAGGGAGATTACTAAACTAGACGGTGAAAATATGATACTTAAGGAGAGACTATAGAACTAGATGAATGAAAACAGTCAGCTTAGATCCTAGATTGAGGGATTCTTGAATGAGATCAGAAAATTAGAATCTCAGTTGAATAATTTAAAATAGTAGAGCGAGGGAGAGAAGAAAAAAGAGCATTACATGAGAGAAATACAAGACTTGAAGATGTAATTAGACGAGTTCAAAAGGTAAAATCATGAATTGTCTAATAAAAGTGCTAATCATCTACAGATCCAACGATAATTAGAAGATAGGAATAACTTGATATAGAAATAAGTTGAGAATTTGATAGCTAGTAAAAAGCTACTATAAAAAACGCTCAGTGAGCAAATGAATCTCAAGCAATAGAAAATAAACTTTTGAAACCCCCAGGAAATCCTGCTTAAATTTTGAACTCAATTATAACTTCAAAAGCATTACTTTTAATTTCATAATTATTCAAATAATGGTTGTGTTTGGTGTGACGGGGTTTTGGGGTTTTGGGGTTTTGGGG